CTTCTGACGAGGGCATCAGGCGGCTGCCCTCCTTCCCAGCCCTCCCTGCCCTGGTGCCTGATGCCCCTCTCCTCGGTCGTTTTCCTCGCCAAGAGACGCTCCCCATTCCACAGCTATTACTGGGACCCCTCCGGTGCCCGGGGGCGGATTGGGGTCTCTCCTCAGGCTCCCCCCTTGAAGCTGCTTCCCTTCCGCAGAAGCCCCGTTTCAACCACCACTCTGGACCTCAAGGCTCCCCGTCCACCTTCCTGCCCTTCAGTAAATTGCCAACCAAATGCTGGGGCGGTTGAAAGGCACGGAAGCCCACACTCACTGGCCAGCTGCCTCATTCCTGCTGCTCTTCGTTGCTGGCGCTGGGGGTCCGGCTCCGGATCTGGCTGCGCAGCTGCTCTATGAGCTCCGGATTTTGCTGCTGCATCTGCTGAGCAAACTGTTGGCCTCTGGACCAAAACAGGAGAGATAACAATAAGACGGCACAATTATTGACCGTTGGTTATTTACGATCCAGGGAGCGTTCTGATTGGTTGAGAGAGGAGTGGACGGCACCCTGACCAGGTGGGTACGGAGCTGGCTCAAAAATAGTACTCAGAGAGGACTTTGCAATGGCTCCTCCTCAAGTGGAAGAGAGACCGGGGGGGGGAGGGCATCACGAAGTCCAGTCCTTGGTATCTTGGATCGGCTGACGACACAGAACTGGAGGGGATAGTTGAGGAAGGCAGGAACAAAATGCAAAGCTATCTTGATAGGCGAGATAAATCGGGCAAAAGTAAGAGAATGAAACTTAGCAGGGACAAAGTGCAAAGTTCTTCTCTTAAGAAGCGTAAAACAGGCACAGGCAGAGGATGGGGAACATCTGGCCGGGTAACAGGACTTCTGGCAAAGGGAACTGTAAGCGATCACCAGCGGAACAGGAGCCGGCAGACCGATGCGGCCGTAAAGAGGCCAAATGCAGCATCAGGCTACAGCAGCGGGAGTGCAATTGCTAAATCATGGGAAACAGTCACTCCGCTTTACTGGACTTTGGTCAGGCCTCGCCCGCCTCAAGGGTTGTGCCCGGTCCTGGGCATCACATTTGGGATTCCAACAAACTTGACCTGGTTCAGCAAGGGCAAGAATGAGGTCGGGACTAGAAACTAAGCCCTACGAAGAGCAGTGGAAGAGCCCTGAGAGCAGAAGACCGAGGTGGGATGGGACAGGAGGTCCACCCCTTCCAGAATGCTGGATGTGGATCATGGATTTCAGCTACAGGAGGGCAGAGTCTGATTGCTAAAAGCCCCAAACTCCTAAGAGCAAGAGGCGTTTGGCAGGGGAGCCAACGACACGCAGGAGGGCTGGGCTCTCCTTTGCTGACAAAGGACGCCGGATGGCCACCGGTCCGGGACACTTCGATTCTGATTCCTGCTCCCCAACCCTCGAGGGCTCGGAGGGTCTCTTCCAACTTCAGGATTCCACGCCAGGGATGAAGGGGTCTGCCATGCAGCCCTTTCATAGGGCACCAGCTCGGAGAGGAATGAAGGGATGCCCCAATACTGACCAACAGGCCAGGGAGGGGCAGCCTGCCCCCGTCCCCGCAGATGAAGACTGGGCCGCTTCTGGCCTTGGGGAGGAGGAGCCGCCTCAATCCACTTGGGGTGGCTATGATGAATCTGAACCAGAATCTAACTCAAGCGCAAGAGAAGCCTTGAAAGTGAAGATGTCACACCTTCCAAGACAGCTCTCCAATCTTTGGAAAGAGGGCCTTTCCAAAGACCGGAGAGCTATCTTGGAAGGTGTGACATCTTCACTTTCAAAACGCTGTTTCTGACAACCCAGCTGTCATTCTGAGTTTGTCAGATTGTACTAAAAACGACCTTTTTCAGGATGTGTCTTTTTAAGCAACGGTTTCAAGTGCAACGAGCCCAGTCAAGGGACGCGCGCTTTGCTCCCACCCTGCCAATGGCTATGGAGGGTGGTTTGTGGGAAAATCTCCCACGGTGCTCTGGGCCATCAGTGGGGAGGAGGCTATAAGGGGAAGCATGCAAGAGGAGCGAAGAAGCGGACCAAGCTGGCTGCTGCTCTCCGGGGCCCGAAGGCACGAACTCTCAGCAGTTCTGTTGGGGCGGGGGGAAGCAGTGCATCTACTCACGCTTGGATGAGGCTGGCAAGATCACGTGGGGAGGTGCTGGCTCCCGGTGCTGCCATGGGGTCCTGGCTGCCTGAGATCATTCCTGACATCCTGCAAAACGGAGGGCTCCGTGACCGGGAGCTCTTGCCCCTCCTTGCAGCCACGCAAGCAGGGCCTAAGCCACGGTCCTGCTTCGGGGGCATCTCGTGAAATGAGAGAAGCGTCGCTGGGCCCAAACTATCACACAGAAGGCTGGGGAACTGGCATCTGCAGTCCTTTTATCGGGTCCAGGGCCTATGGAAACGCTGCTGGTCTCCAGGCACGGGGCCAACAGCGGCCTCCCCTTGCAGTGAACGCTGAGCTCCCACCCCCACTCCCTTCAGACTGCAGAGGCAGGGGATTTAGTCTGGGTAAAGTAGGGGGCTCTGCTTTAATCAAGGGAGGGGAGACCATTTTGCAGGGCGGGGAGTTTCCCGGGAACCAGTCCATCTTCTAGTGTGAAGCCCTGCCTTGAGACGCCCAAGGGGGCTGCAGGAGAGCACAAGTTGAGCTGCACCCAGGAAAGGCTTCTTCTTTCGCCCCCCGGACAGCTGGGGCGGGAGTGGGATTCTCCCTCCTCTCCCCCCCCCCGAGGGCTGCAGCTACTGGCTCCTGGCCTGAGCACAGACCTCTATTTTGGGGGTGGTCCCACTCGCCCCACAGTGCCCCTTCTTCAGCAAGGAGCTGTTTCAATAATAAACCATCGTTGGCAGGGCTCCCAGGAAACCTGGGTTGGCAGACCAGAACAAGTGGGTCTGCAGGACGTGCTAAACCAAAACCAGACCCCAGTTAAACCAAGAGCACTGGCTTTGAGCTCCCTTTTGCGGAGGGGAAAAATTTCTTCTCCTCTGTAGCTTAAGGAAACGTTTCTTTAAAAAAAACCATTAAGCCGAAATGTTTCCTCGTAGATTTCAGATGGGACACTTTCTTTCTCGCAGCCCTTCAAACGTCCCTCCCCGAAGCAGAACCTTTGCAGGACTACGAGCAAAATACTTACAGCTGCTGCACTTGCGGGTTGTTCATCAGGTTCGAGGCCTGTCAAATGGATTTGAAAGGGGGGAGAGGAGAGATGACTTACTCAGCAGAGCTTAATTATTCAGGGACACAGCCAAAGATCAGTTGCTTTCGCCCAGAAGGCTCAATGACGTTTTTAAACTGCCCCCAGTATGTTGGGACCACGCCTCCCAGAATCCCCTGCCAGCAGGCAATCCCTCCATGTCTGGAGGGAAGCAAGTGGGAGGAGGTGGTTGTTGGAGATGTAACTGGCTATTCGAGTGCCAACACACCACGGGGACACTGACTGACCCTCCCCTCTGGCTGCAGACCCAAGCCAAGCCCTCGGTTTGGGGTACCTCTCAGTTCTGCCTCCATCAGCCAGCCGGCCAGCCAGATTCTAAGATTCTGGGTCCCAAGACTGCTTCTCCCATTTTTCCCTTTTCTTTTGTGTTGTTTTAGGGGGCAAGTTCCATCTTGTTTTTACTGATTGGAAAATCACACTGGAATGCCTTCCAAACAAAAGGTTGGGGGCAAATTCCTTAAATCTGGAGTGTGGGGGGGAGCCCGCAGTTCATATCTTTTAACTCTGTGGCTGTGGACCATCCTCAAGAAAAACCAAGGGTGAGGATTCTCAGCTACTTTGAGGCTGGAAGCTCACAAAAACTGTTGTGTGGATACTAAAACAGGCTAAACGCAGCTTAAAGGACGAAAAGAGAAAGGAAACGGCCATCTGGTCTTGACCTCATGGGTGATCCAGCTGCTACAGTCCACTTCCTTTCCCCTTGCTCAGGTTGCCCACCACCCTTTATGCAAATAAACAATTTTGCAAGAAAGCCACACATTTTTGGCAGAAAAAGATGATTATGGAATGGGCCCAGCCTTCATCTCTGGCCACAGTGTCCCCTGGCAGGCAACCCCCACTACCTTCAGAGAGTGCAAAGCACCACACCTGAGCCTGCGGGGGGCGGGGGAGAGCCACGTGAGCCGCAGACCCTCTGCAACAGCTCTGCGGCCTCAAGGAGAGGGAAGAACCAGAGTCACTGGAGATCCAAGCCAGAATCCAGAAGACAAGGGAGAGCGGCAGAAGCTGCTGCTCCAGACAAAGCCCCCCCACATTGCCCTCTCACATTCCAACCATCCCCCCCAAAGCAAAGCAGAGCCCCTCCCAGTCTCCCATGCTCACCATGCTCATGAAGCCGGGGTTGTTCAGCAGTCCAGCCAAATCAAACCCTCCAGTGCTGCCCGTCTGTGGGGAAACGTGGAAAGTGAGTATCAGCATGGCCCTCTGCCAGGCGCCCCGAGGGCAAAGGGGGTGCCCTTGCCCCTTCAGGGCCCACAACTCGCCCAGCCAGGAACTCACTGGGCTTGGGGCCTCCTTCATCTTCTGCTCAGTGACTTTCAAGTTGGACTTGTAGGTTTCATTGTCTGGGTCCAGCTCCAGCGCCTTTCTGTAATAGAAGACGGCTTCCGAGAGCTTGTTGAGGCTGGACAAGGCCAAGCTGCAGAGGAAATAAGCGGGCAGCAAAACAGGCGGCGTTCTTCCCAAGCTCTCCTGCGAGCGAGAGGTCACCAAGCTCTAACGATACGCACAACGCCCCCTCCGCTGCGCTGGTTTCTGGTCACCGAGTGAGGCGCTTCCAATTTTTACGCTTTCTCCCCCTACTGATTTTTCCTACGGTTAGCATTTATTTCACCGTGTTCATTTTTAACCTGAATTCACAAAGATGGGGAACCGCACGCTGCTCAGCGGTAGCTTCAAAGGGAGCGAACTGCACGCCTTGGAAATACGCAAAGCCTTTTGTTTCACTGGGGGAAACGACGGGCGGGCAGGGAGTGGGGGAAGAGCCCGGGAACTGGCAACCTGCGAGAGGGAAATCCGCCCTCGGAAAGCGCGCTGCTGCGTTTGAGCTAACTGTCCTGGCTGGGGGTCCTGTTGGTGCAGCTGAAGGCAGCGGCGGGGAGCGGGGAGGGCTGCCGGGTGGGGCCGCATCCCCACTGCTGCCTCTGTGCAAGCCCTCAACTAGTGTTACTGCACGCACACCGAGAAGGCACGAACTCGCTGAACAAACTACGCGTGTTCCTGGAAGCCAAAGACAAACGCTTTGTGCCCGATTCATCCGAGGCCAAAATTCCAACACAAGATCCTAAGGGCCATTTCCACTCTTTCACGTGGAGGCGCAAGCCTACAATTCTCCCACGTGCACATAGCACCAAAGGAAAACAAGCTAGAGGAGCAGGCAGGGGCTCTCCGTGGCTTCTGCGGCACCGGATATCTGGCCAGAAGGATTCTCCTGGAAGGCCCTGCCTGGCTTCCTCCTGTTCTGAAACCCCAGGTTCTCCCTCCCGTGGTCGGCCAGCCCTCTCTCCTGCTAGGTCCAGGGGGGGGAGACCTGGGCCGCAGCAGGCCCAGCGCTGGAGCCAACGTACCCCATCCTGCCATAGGCTTTGCTGTATTTGGGGTCGATGTTGATGGCTCTTTCGCAGTCTCTCACTGCTCCGGCGTAGTTTCCGAGTTTGCTGTAAGCAGCAGCCCTGAAATGGGGGCAGGGAGGGAGGGAGGGAGGGGGGAACTCGAGAGATGCTCTCCAGCTGGAGCTCGGAGGCAGCCCCTGGCACTTCAGCACCCATAAGCGACGGTGGGCTGTTCTCCCCCCACTGGCACCCATTTCAGGCAGCCGTTCCCACCAGGCTCCTTGCGCAAGCACAGCTGGAAAGCTGGCGCAGAAACCCCCTCTCACCGGTTGCAATAATACACAGCGTTGGATGGGTTGAGTTCAATGGCTTTTCCGTAGTAAGAGACGGCGCTTTTAAAATTCTCCACTTTCATCTGCTCGTTTCCTAGAAAGAAGAAACAAGGGAAGAGCCACCTGTTTGCACCAGGGGGCAACCCCGCCTCCGCATGGGGATCCCTGGCTTGGGTCTCATGCGAAGGGCCACTGCAGGCGAGCCCTGGAGCCCTTCCTTCAGCACCCACACACTGCTGGAGCTGCCAGCCCACTGTTGGCTTTCTTCCCCTGAAAGTCCTTTTCTGCTTAGGCCTTCCCTGCCTTGGCTAGACAGTCTGGGGCCCAAAAGCACAACAGAAGAGACCCCCAGTGAAGCAGGCAGAGGATGCCAGTATGGAGCACAGCCCGCGCAGGCTGACAAGCTTACATCAGGGAACATAGCTTCTCTTGTGCTACGCTGCTGATTTGAGGCTCATGGGGCCTTCACAGTCCCCCCCTTATTAACCCCCATGTAATTCTTAACGGGAGCGTGACGCCTTCCAGAATCTCCATCTTATGCTCCTTACGTGTAAGGGAGGCAGATTCCTGTCCCGTGTCCTGCTCTTTCAGGAGAGCAGCCGCTGGGAAACCTCAGAGGGTGTGCACTGCTTCCTGCGCCACCCTCCCAGGGGAGCCCTCCCACAGATGCAGCAGAGCCAGGGGACGAGCAGGACCCCCCGGGAGGTTCACCTTCAGCTTTCAGTCTTTCAGCTTCAACCGCGTCTTCTTCGGAGGGAGGGACAGGCTCAGCCATGGGGCAGCTCTGCAACGGCTCCTGTTGGGGAGGGAGAGAAGACACGGGCATTGGGCGGCGGCAGGGAGCACTGCTGCTGACCGCAGGACTGCCAGGGCGGCCACCCAAGAATCTCTGGCCAGAAGGCCCCGTGACGGACACGGGCAGGACCCCCACCAGTAACCTTCTTTCACTCCAAAGTCTGTGTGAACTTTCCTCAAAGACAATGCTGGCTGGGGATTATGGGAACTGCAGCCCAATGCTCCGGAGGGCACTGGGTTAGGAAAGGGTAGACCTACCCCAGCAGCTAACGGCTCCCCAGCCCTGCCAGAGGTCTTGCCCTGCGCTACTCTCTTCCCAACCTCTTCATCCCTGGGACGGTGCGGCAGAGATCGCTTCTGCACAAAAGGTTCTCCTTCTAGAAAGAAACGGTTTGTCCCTGCCGACCACAACGAATGTCACTCTGAGACCGGTAAATATCCTTTGAGAAAGTTTTAGGTTAACGCGTCAGATATTTTTAAAAACTGATACCAAACAAAGAAAGCTCTCATGGAACACAGAAACTCCCAGCCTTGAATTTTGACCTTTCTGGAGCTTAAGCGATTCTTTTCTAAAGTTGTTATGGCATAACTCGAAAGTTGTTATAATTACTGTACCACAGCAGGAGACTTGGCCCCAGTTTTACTCAAAAATCAGTTGCTTTTCCTGCATTAAAGCCTACAAGATCTAATTGGATTGTGCTGCGAAGGAAATTTAATCCCTGGGCCCATTACGTGCTGACCCCCAGGGGTCAGCCTTTGCTTGAGAATGGCAAATAAACTGATTTGGGCAAGCTGATGGGCATAAAATGGGAAAGGGGAGTTGGAATACCCTACTTTAACCAATCAGCGGCTTACAGTTTTAAAGAATCTTAAACGCGCCCAGAGTCACTTCTTAATGAGATGGGCAGTGACAAATTCGATGCTCCATGCGTAAGTAAAATAAATTAAGGAACGCATCCTCCTTTGCCCTTTGCAACGCGTTTAGCCCAACCGAGGGCCCTGCTTGAGTGCGGCGGACGCCTTGCGGGTGCCGGGCAAGGGCTGGAGGTCCGCTGCAACCC